TTAACGTGCCACGTGAGCAAAATTTAACCGAAGGACTAAAAAGGGGCTGGATTTGTGAACAGTAAAGATCAAAAAAAGGATTTTTTTGGTATAGGGACTAATAAAAAGGGGCTTTTTCCTATAGTAGAGAGACCAAAAAGGGTATTTAACCAAATAAAAAAAATAATTAAAAAAAAAAAAACCTAACTTACTTTCGTAGGAATCACGATTGCACTTAACATGTGCAACAACCCTTTAAACCCTTAGGTCACCCTAGTGGACGAGTTGTGTTTCGTGAGGGTTTGCAGTGGATCTACCCACAAAATCCCAATGCAAGAATGTAACTACATGATATGCATGCAAAGAAAATTTAGGAATTAAAGTTTAATTAGATACAAAATCTCAAATATTCAAGAGTTTTCATATACTCACTTAAAGTCAAATACTCATCCTATTCTTTACACCACTTGTTAAAAGATTTAGCTCATGAGCACTTAATGTGTGTTTGGAAATTCATAGTAAGAAGTCTCAAGTTTAGACTCTCATACTTTATCACTTATTATTATTTTTATTATTATTTTCTCCCTCCTTCTTTTCTTTTCTTTTCTTTTTTTTTTTCAATCAAACAACATATTCTTCCTTAAACCATCATTTGTCTTTTGACACAAATACTAACATTTGTGATGAAAGAAACCGTTTACTCAACAAGTCATAAACTCAAAGTGCTTTGCATACTCATATTTTAAGTCACCGTTTGATGTGAAAGTTGACATGGGTCTTATGCCTAAACCCCAGTTACTAAGCAATTAAAAATATTAGAGTAGAAATTAATAAACTCTTTTGTATTGGCTTCTTTTTCTTCTTTTTTTTATTTTTGTTCTATTTAGGTGCTACTAAGTCTTCTCTCTAAACTTCTCACTACAAACTTGTGCTCAAGTAGAATAAAATACTCATGAACTTAAACTTCATCACAATGGTGCTATTTTTTAGATTTTGTATCTCCTCTAAGAATTAAAGATTTTAAAAGTTTTAAAATTTTCAACTCAAGAATATCCAATTTCTTGACACTAATTGGACCAACTCCTAAAAAAAAAAAGCCTAATTTCTAAAAGAGAAAGAAAAAAAAAATGTATGTTATGCAAATATGAATGCAAACTAACATAATAATGGATGGCTAAAAGTTAGTCTCTCCCCCAAACTTAAATCAAATATTGTCCTCAATGTAAAATAAAAGTAAGAGAAAAGAAAAAACTTCTCAGGTTTTGCATTTGAAGACTTAAAATTGAAGTTTTGAAGTTGAGTTGTCTTCATTTAAAGGAGACTTTTAGCATGTAATTTCCATAGTCTTGTCCCCCAAACTTGTTCAATGACTTGGCCAAAATTAAAGAACAACAATTTATACATTAACCTAGGCCATAAAGAGAAAAAAGAAAAAATAAAAAAGAAAAAATCTAAACTATTAAAATAAAAGACAAAGAAATAAAAGTAAAGAAAATTTTATGCTTGGGTTGCCTCCCAAAGAAGCGCTTAATTTATAGTCATTAGCTAGACTTTCTACCACTCCAAGGTGGTTTTGGATTAAGTCGTAGGACATGTCCTCTTGTTTTCTTAAATCTTGGCTTTTTTGCCCTTAAGTTGAATCCACCATAAGATTTTCTCCAATGACTATTTTGAGGTGGTTTGGGTTTAGGCCAACAGATGTGCCTTCCCAATTCTTCTAGGAGTGCCCCCTTTGATTCCAAGGAAGATCATGTGTTCAAGCAATTTATGTATTCTTTGATTGGGTCATTTGCTTGAATAAGGTAAATCTCAAATGGATCCTCATAAGTGTTTTTCTGCAAAATCTCATCAACTATATCAATAACAAAATAATTACTAAAATCAGATTTAGTTAATGGAGATTCCTTATTGGACACTTCAAATGCCACTTGAGCTTTTTCCTCTTCCTCCTTGGGAACATCCTCTTGTTTAGTTTCTATAGGCATAATTTCTACTTCTCCAAGTTGTTCTTCAATCTCCAAGTGTACGGTGTTTACCTCTTCTTCTTGATTTTTCATTGTTGCACTAGGTAACTCACCTTGTATTTTTTTAGCAACTAAATTGAGCAAATGACTTGATTGGACCTCCAAATTTCTATCCAAATGTGTCTCCTCTTCTTGAGCTTGAAACCTTAATTGTGGCTGCAATATATCTTCATTATTCCATGAGGAATTTGGATAATTTATCCAATCAAAGTTACATGTACTGAAATAAGAGTTATATTGCTAGCTATAAGAATCACAAGAAAAATCAACACACTTGTTAAATCGTTTATAATAGCAATCAGAATTAAAATGGTCTAATCCACACCATTGACAAGTGATATTTAATTGTTCTATTAGAGTCTTCTTTAATTTTATCCTTTCAATGACTGCTTGAAATCGGTCAAGTTCATCATCATCAATTTCTGCTAGCAAGATAGTTACTGCTTCAACTTGTACCCTCATCTTTGGCACAAGCCATTGATAATCCACATCAGTGTTTAAGACAACTTGATCCATAGTTAGTCCTACAAAAACAAAAACAAAAGTAATGAAAAAAAAAAATCAAAGTAAAGAAATAAAAGAAAAGAAAAGGTTCAAATTAAATCTAGAATTAACCAACTTCAATATTAATTAAATCAACAATCCACGGCAGCGGTGCCAAAAACTTGATGCACTAAAATCACCCTAACAAGTGGACTAGTCGCTCCAAGTAATATAATGATGAGAGAGTGTCGAACCCACAAGGGTTGTGTCTAATTAAGTACCAAAATAATTAATCTAAATTTATTTGAACTATCGAAAAGGAAGAAAGTTTAACTACAAAATAATAAAAGGAAAATAACAATTAAATTAAACTCAAACAAGATATGAGATGCTAAGGCATTGATTTCACCATAATCAATCAATATAAATTCTAGATTAATATGCTAATTTGTTGAGTGTTATTCCATGTGATTGCAGATTTTCTTAAATTTATTAACCAGCTTTTTTAAGTTAAGCTAATCCTTCACTTATTTGTTAAATTAATCATATCTCTATACAATTTTAAACAAACTAATGAGCATTAAATTCTATGAAAGCCACTAGTTTAAGAAGAGAAAGCTCCTAACTCTCTTCTCTTCCTCCATAAATTAATTACTTATCGATCTCATAGTCTAGCACATGGTTTATATTATTATTGGTATAATCTACGCAATTCTTTTTCAAGTTCATACATAAATCACTAAATCAATTGTAAGATGATCAGGCTTCCAATGCATTAAATTCAATAATATAAACTCCTCATGCGAATAATTTTAATTGAAAGTATAAAATCACAAAATCTATATTGAATTAATCAGGTTACATATTAGCCCTAATAGAATAAATTAGTTCATAATAAAAATAATAAAATCTGAAATCATAGTTATGAACATTCAAATATCAAACAATAGATAAAAATTCAAGGAAAAACAAAATCCAGTTTGAAGAAATCAAATTTTTTGATCTTTTATTGTTGATGGAACCTCTATCTGGATCTATAATAATGCCCAAAAGAGGGTTACCACCAGCCTCCATCCAACTCTCTTAATTGTGAATTTGGATGAGTATTTATAAAATTTTAGAAACCCTAATTAGAATAGAAGTAAGATTTAAAACAGAATAAGAAACTTAAATGTTGAATGAACGTATGGTGTTGACACACCAAATTATGTGTTGACACAAAATAAAAAACAGAAAGTTTGCTTCTAGACTATTAATGCATGGTGTCGATACCCCAATTAAGTGTCAACACTACACTCGTGTCGAGTTTCTCACCTCTTTTGCAATTTTTTCAATAGTAAAATGGCAGATCTCTCCTTCAGCTTTTGTACCATGAGTACTTAGATCCCAAAACTCAAGATTCATTCATTAAGGTCTCAAAGAAGCGCCCTTCTTCTTGCAATTCAGCCCCTCAACTTTCAAAAAATATTCAATTAATCCCAAAAACTCTTCTTTTATGCATTCAAGTTCTTTTTTGCACAAATAATGAAAATTATGTAAAATCTCATAAAACTCATCCAAATATCAATAATATCAAGGCAACAATTCCACATTAATATGTATATAAATTCAACTTATCAGTCTCACTTGCTGCATATAGTGCGGTAGATACTGCGAAAGCATTATGGTACTCTTTAGTATTGAGCCGGATGAAAATAGTGATGTTTGTGACAAAGCAGCAACCAAGAACCTTATATGTTACTTACCTGTGAGATGAAAACCAAGATGATGACCCCTGGAAGCCCCACTTCAACACATTAAGCTAGCTAAAAGGAAGATAAAAATGAGAGATAATATGATCAAACTAATTTTGATACCAAAGAAAATAGGACTAGATTATATTGGAAAGTGGAAATATGCAAAAAAGTGATAAAACAACTTATGATATATTAAAAAATGTGGATGAAGGGTAAAGAGCTCTTTACCATAGGGAAACCAAGATGATAAAGTCAAGGCTGTTAAGAGTAACAAATGGAACAACAGAAAGAGGGTAAAGGAACCTGTAAAAGGTAAGGAAGGAATTCATGATCATGAAGTCTTGAAATGATAAATCAATACTTAGATGAAAAGGAGAATGACTATTAATATTATCTTTGAATTTTCAAAACTAGTAAATTCTACCTGACAGCATTTCTCCGCAATCCTAGAAACCCCACAACCGCCTGAAAGCATGCTGTAATTATCAATGCTCCTTGAATCCCCTTCATTGTATATACAAACCTCTGCAAATCACCCAGAAGAACAGATCCATTGAAACAAACAATACAAGTGAAAAGGTAATTTACATGAACCTCTTTACTTTAATGGGAGTTGCACAGGAGCTATATCTACTGCCTTGGATGATAGATGTGATGGGAATTAAATATGCATAAGAATCCACAGCCACTACTGGGAGTCTGGTTCCGAATAAAGATTGAAATAGAGTATTTAATCCAGAGGCAAAGAGTAAGGACTGGATCACCTTTACCTTCTCTGCCTGTTTCAGGAGAGGAAAAAAAAAACCATTTGAATCAAATTAATGGGATTAAATGGAAAACAAAAAATATTCAAAGAAGATTGATGATGAGACTGCAAGATGATGAGACTGCAATAGAATCCTTACATTACCGCCGCCCATTTGAGGTGCAATCATGATTGGAATCCAAAGAGTCATACCAAGAGTAAACAAATAATGCTGGAAACCCAATACTAGTGCTTCCACTGCAACATTGAAATTAAAAGTTAGGACACTGACAAGACAAACAACAAGAAGTCGTTGAACTTGACAAGAGTGGTATCAAGAACAAGATTGGAGTTGCACAAAGGAATTGACGCAAAAGGATGATAAACATACACCATGGTGGAGGGCTGTTAATGCAGTACTGAATCCCAGGCATCTGCTCTTTCACTGGATGTGATTGTGGTGGCTCCTCCACCTTCTGTTGCCATCTGCAGCACCATTGTTGGCCATATTTCTTTTGAGAGAAACTTGGAAGAGGAGTAGACTAGGGAGAGCGAATTTAAAAAAAGAGCTGAATGTGGCACTCAGTAGTCAGCACAAATTGACCGTTAGAATCCTGTAGGAAATAGGCATATTTTGTAATTTTGTTTTATATTAAGGGCTTTTATGTAACTCTACATTTTATATGACCTTATATATATTTGCTGCTAAAAGGGTGCGCAGCTCTGTAATTTTGGTTTTGCACCCTCCACTTCCGCCTCACTTTACAAATCCTGCAGTTACAATTTTTTGTAATTGTAATTAAGATTGAATGAATTAATTGGCTGGCATTTATTACTACAACTTTATGACTTATTATTAAATAGATTTTTAATATTTCGAAGAATAAGAAACTGCAGTGGAATATGAGGGAAATTCCAAATTTATACTCCACTGCAGTTTCTTGTTCTTCAAAATATGAAAAATCTATGTAATAATAAGTCATAAAGTCGCTGATAAAAAAAAAAAAAAGTTCATAAAGTCATAATAATTAATAAGCAGCCAATTAAAACTGTTCAAATATAGTAGAGAATGGTTAATGCAATTTGGAATTGTTCTTTGTGCAACTCCAATCTTGTTCTTGATGCCACTCTTGTCAAATTCAATGACTTCTTGTTGTTTGTCTTGTCAGTGTCCTAACTTTTAATTTCAATGTTGCAGCAGTAACGCTAGTATTGGGTTTCCAGCATTATTTGTTGACTCTTGGTGTTACTGTTTTGATTCCAAGCATAATTGTACCTTAAATGTATGGCAGTAATGTAATGATTCTATTGCACTCTCATCATCAATCTTCTTTGAATCTTCCTTTTTTTTTTTTTTCATGTTATCCCATCAATTTCATTCAAATGTTTTTTTTTCCTCCTCTGAAACAGGCAGAGAAGGCCAAGGTGATCCAGTCCTTACTCTTTGCCTCTGGATTAAGCCCTCTATTTCAGTCTGTATTCGGAACCAGACTCCCAGTAGTGGCTGTGAGTTCTTATGCATATTTAATTCCCATCACATCTATTATCCAAGCCAGTAGATATAGCTCCTCTATAACAACATTTCAGCTTTCCTATGTCATTGGTGGCTCAGCTGCTCATAGCTTCAAACATCCCAACTTGACTCAGCTAAAGATATCTGCATTTCACCCTAGCTGAAAATAATTACACTAGCAACACTGCCCACTGATATAAATAACATCTTTCTCAAATGATTTGAATCTTAAAAAGCAACAGCTGAATTTTTTTTTTTTTTTTAAGAAAAAGGGTCATGAATATTCGAAGTTTCTTGTGCTGATATGATTGTTGTTGGCTTCATTTCAACCTAAAAGTTCTTTGCCTTGATTGCAGATTTGAATTTAACTGTAATTAAAAGGGGTCAAATTTTCAGTTCCCACACCATAAATAACTACTGTACCAGTAAAGTTTGATGGTATAAAATTGCAATGCCTTCACAAACAGTAAACCAGATCTAAAATGCTTTTCTCAAAGAATTGATAAACTCTTCTGCTCATCGAACTTCACATAATCACCTCTTCTTTGTTAAGAGTCCAGAAAAGAACTTCCACAAACCTCTAATATATCTATCAATCAGTTAGCATAATTATCAACTTAAAGCAGAACTATTGGTCTCTCCCTGAGATCCCAAGCTTGTAAGGAATGGCATAAAAGAGAAAGAGAGAATGCACGAAATACAAATGCGATTCCAATGTAATATAAGATTAACTCCATTGATTTAAAACGAATTTACCTTTACATTTTCAAAGTAGTCATTTCACATATTTGAAATGCAACACTTTTTCAGGTGAATTCTCAACATCCTACACCCCTATTGCAGCATTTTCATTCTGCAATTCTTATACGTTTGCAATAGTTCAGATTATATTCATCCTATGTTTAAGGAGATTGAAATACTTACAATGACTTCTCATAGGTAATTATCAGATTCCTGCCAAAAATTATTCCCTTCAACATTTGTTTGAAATGAGTGAAGAAAGATTTTGTGCAACATTTTTATTTGTTACCAGTTACACTTTGTGGCAATACTCTCATACATAAGAGTGGAGCATGATTCTATCAGATTATTGCTTTTTTTTCCTAAAATAACTCAATATTCCACAGTCCCATGATTTAAAACAGGAAGCTTTTAAAGAAATACAGAGTAGTGTTTATTGCACAAAATAACCATTTAGTAAAGCATAGTGGTAAATAACTAAATATATAAATGGTATACTGAGTTGTTTTGTATAGACCAACTTAGAATCAAAATATCAAGAGCCATCACACTCAGTTTCATTTTATATAGTCTTTATATTAGTGTATTGTACGTCAATGGAGTACTATCCAATTTTAATCCCATTATAAAAAGCCTTGTGCTATGTTAATAGGAGACAAGAAGTTTTTAATCTATTTCACTACCTGCAATTGCTCATTAATTATTCTTCATCTTTTATTCAGAAATACAACACACTATATTTTTAAAGCCTGCACAAAACATGACCACCATAAATGAAATTCAACACACATCCATTATCTATAGCCACAATCAAACCGAAGCAAGTCAAAAGAGCAGCATTTCATCAAACCAAGGGAAATGAAAATCACGCAGAAGCCACACTAAACAAAATAAAAAGAGATAGAGAAGCTGAAAACGTCTATTACCAATTGAATGCATTACTTCAATCCTGTGGGAGGGGACTCGAGTTCTGAATTGCAACCACATTTCTATCACCAACCTCTCCTTTCTTTACCCACATCTTAACAGCATTAATTTCAAAAGTGAAAACAAGATATGTATGGCAGCGGGTTTTTTTTTTTTTTTTTTTTTTTT